AAGAACACTAGAGCCTATCTGACCCAAAATTGTTAAACATCATGCAGTTTTCAAAAACGTTGGCTCAAATAGAATGAAATGAGCAGAGATGAAAAATAATTTTTTCATTTGCTCATTGGCATTTATGCTTTGAACATATTTGAATAACTAACCACAGGCAGCCCACCCCTTGCATGCTAAAAAATAGTATTTAACACTTATTTACTGGAACCGAGGGAAACAGCATGTTTTGTGGTCCCGAGACCGCTGATGTTTCCCGAAGCGAAGCTGCTTTATTATCATATCAAGTGTCAAAGAGAGCAAAAAAAAGTAAATAAATGAATTGTTTTTATTAAAGATTTTGAYVAAATAACTGAAAAATGGCAATACAAATAGTCACTAAAATCAATCAATGTAWTAACACAATGAATACTAATTTAGGTATTTGTAGTCTAAATTAAATGTTTCATAACAATTTTGGAATTGCAATGTCCGTAAATGTGACATTTTCACGACACTRAARATTGTTTTTCTGSGACTTTGTACTTATTGACGGTCTACAACATATTATTGACCGCTGGTGGACAGTTGCCGGGAAACAGTAAAATTTTGTGACTTTCAYGTGGTACACTCTCGACCAATAAGATACTAGGAAAAGTGAACTTTGACACTTGATATATAATAAATATTTTTATTGTATTTTATTAATTCATAAAAACAAATCGATTAATAAACAACAAAATCGAAAACAGGACGACAAAACAAAGTGCGCGCTTCACTTAAACTTTTGTATTATATACTAAAATTAAAAAAAAAATCTAGAATAGCGAAAATGTAATCACTGATTAGTTTTGTCCGTGGATTTTGGTAAAAATATGTATTGTTATTTTACATTTTCAGTATCATCTATATTAYACTTTTTCTCGGAGATTGATGTTCGAGTGCTTCACGAAACCTTTACGAATTGAAAAATCCGAGCGCTTCCCGAAGTTTGTGCCACACGTGACCAGCGTTTCATACCTTGTCTTTTTATTGTTAAAAAGCGCTCTATAAAGTAAGTAAATAAATTATTAMATTATTTATTATAAGCGTGCGCGAACATGAATCAAGCAAATAAGGCGCGCGCTTGCATGCATCTTTCGTTTTATTTGGATTTYTTTCTTAATAATTCAAGGGGTGGGTTGCCTGTTAACTAACCATGCTTAAAAACTACAGCGGCATTACATTTTTTGAAAACTCAACAAATCCACACATAATGTTAATGTTAGTGTATGAAAAACATTTTGACTTTTTTATCATCACTTCCTTGCTTACTTATCCTTAACATTTTTTTGGCTTATGGCTAATGCTTTTATGTGTCATTTATAGAAGAACAACTTGACAACATCCTTAAATGAAGCTTTTCCATCTCTATATCTGAAATATGTCGATGACACCATGTTACAATGCCTGATATTGATTCTGCAATGTTTTCTTTCGAGACCAAGACAAGAATGGGTCTGGGCTTGAGACGCGAGTATATTGCAAACCCACCAACACTGGAACGGTATTTTGCGACATAATTTGCTTTCATATACGTAATTATATGATAAACAGAATTTTACATGGTCACTTGGAGATACGAATTTTATCTTCTCGTGAAAAATTACTCACTCGTTCGCTACGYTCACTCGTGAGAGATCTTTTCCACCCTAAGAGAATCAAAAAGAGTAAGAGCATCGTATGCATACAGTTTCTCGACATCAATAATCGGGCTTTTAGACTAAGTAAAACAAAATCGACGAAAGCGCATATTTAACTTTGTTTCCGATGTAGAGCTGTCAAGTTATGACTTTTACAGAACGATAGCAGCATATTCATGACAAAAAATGTTAGGCCACTTTGATCATATTTCATTCGATCGATGGATATTTTAAAGGCTTGCTAAGGAGTTTTATAATTACAATCTTCTAAATAATATTAGGTACGAGAAAATGRAATATCAGTTAGAAAAGCGATCATCAAATTCTCATTTTTCTACCTTAAATCTTTAAAAAGTGTAATTACCTTGTGCCGAAATGTCTGCGCGACATTCTTCGCCAAGATGGAAACTCAATAAAACATGGTGTCATTCGACACTCCTAAAAACACGAGGAATATGAAAAGCATAACTATGACAACACATATCGTCTTTACGTAAATTTAGACGTAAAATGCTCTAATTACCATGTTTGAAAGGACTACCTATCAAACTCATGTCCACCCACGTCGGTGAAATTACAATCGCGACGCAAGAGCGTATAACACCTGACTGGAGACGGGAGGAAATCATTAAGTAACAAATTCATTTTCTTACTTTGAATTAAGATTTATTGCTATGCTTCTGCATAACGAAACACAATATTCCTGAAATACTAGTG